TGAGAGCCTGTTTCCTGGGACTCCTTCTCAATCCAAGTATCATATCAGTCAGAGTCCACGGGTGAAACAGAATCATGCTACATATTCCACCAAGAGAATTCACTATAACGAATTGGTTAACTAGGTGTTTAAGAGCTGAGAACACACTTGCAACCCTGAGGTAACACAGAAATAAATGCTGAAAGCAGTTACAGCCCCTGGAGCTGGGGAAGGAGATTTGGGGTTATCAGAATTTAGACGTTTTGAGAAAGGGATCTGTAGAATTGGGACCGAGATCATTGAGGAGAGAACACCATCCAGGTACCACCAGTACCTCTGAGAGGGCAACCAGTTCTGTGTGTCAAAATGAGTCAGGGCCAAGAACCAACTGCTATGACCTGGGATGAAGAGCAGTTTCCAGGCAATATTGTTGGGGAAAGGGAGCAAAGAGGAAGGAACAAATCCCCTTCCTTACCTCCTGCCTTCCAACCTCCCTTTAGTGGTTCATATTCCTATAATGGGCAAACACATGGTTGTGCAGAGTCCTAGCCACAGCATCACAAAGTACAGAAGGATGGGATTGAAGTTGAGTGACCAGAGCTGGATGGGCCTAAAAGTATATCTCTGAATACATTGGTGCACACATGTTAAGTGTGCATGCACATATTCACAAGCATACATCCTAAGATTTTAGGTCACACTATTTTGGCATTAAAAATAATTTTTTTTTCTCATTACAATAGCAACACATATTTCTTTCCTTTAAATAGAAAATACAAACAAGCTCACAGAAGAAAAAAATACCCATAGTACTGCTGGAAAGATAATAATTGTTAACCTCTTTATTTAGACCCCTTCAGATCTTTTTCTCAATGCATGTATGTTTTTATTTCCATGGAATCACATTATACAGTTTCTACAATTTTAAAAAACAACTTAGTGTATCATCAAGAATGGCTTAACATAAACACATATTTATTTATTTACAGCAGTGGGTTCCAAATTGTCCCTAGGAAGTGTCTGATGCACCACCTCCAGGGACTAGGGCGGGAGGCATTAAAGGGAGGATCCTGCATTCTACCATATACTCTTAACCACTGCAATTCTGATTTTGTTTTATGTATTTGATTTCTGCATAAGATTTTGTGGGTGGGGTGGGGGGAAAATTCCACTGCCACAATATTAGAAAACAACCATTTCATTATACAAATATAGTATAGTTTTCCATTTTTATGATTAAAAAAACAAAAGAAACCTAAACTTTTGTCCAAAGCTCCAGTAACATGGGTCATCATGCTTTTCATTCTTGGTCTCTTTGACAGTGCTTGAAAATCATTTTAATCTGAATTTCTTGGAGTACTGATGAGATGGACGAGGTTTTATGTATTTAATGATCATTTGTGTCTGTGGTAGTCTTTCTCTGCAGACTTGAAATTTGTAAAGCATGGCCCTAAAACCTTATTTTCTCTCTAATGTACAAAACCCATGACTCTTGCATGTCTCTTGCTCAAGGAAGCTCTGCTTTCCAATATCCACTGCTCCACCAGAATACTATCTTTCTGCCCTTCACGCCTGGTAATGACAGCAAAACCTCCTCCATTGACCACTCAGATGCTCTCGTCCAGGGGCTACCCCACTCTAAACATGTCCATATCTGAAGTCTCATTATTTTTGCCCTGAATCAGAGAGTAAAGGCTTTTTGGGTTTTAAGTCAGCCTCTCTAGCTTGATCCCATCTGTCTCCTCTGGGACCTAGTATGGTGCCTGGCAAACAGCTGATGCTCAAAAACTATTGAATAAATGTGTGTTGCTCCATCAATACTCCTCTCTTCATCTCTTTAGCAGGTACAGCTTCTCTAACTCTTTTGGCTTTTTCCCCTTAGTCCATACTTGTGAGAAAATCAATTCCTATCTGTAATGGTCAGGTTTATGTATCAGTTTGGCTAGGCTCTATCTCCAGTTATTCAATCAAACATTAGTTTAGAAGTTGTTGTGAGGGTATTCTGTAAATGGAATTATGAGCCACAATCAGTTGACTCTATGTAAAGGAGATTATCCTGAGTAATCTGGGTAAGCGTGATCCAATTAGTTTTAAAAGTCTTAAAACCAGAACTGAGGTTTTCCTGAAGACAGGACGTAAAAATTCCACCTGTGGACTGCAGCTTCAGCTCCTGCCTGTGAGTTTTCAGCCTGCTCTTCCTTGGCCTGCCCTATCCAACCCCCACAACTGTGTAAGATAATTTCTTTCAATAAGTCACTTAATATACATATCCTATTGGTTCTGAGTGACTGGTGGAATCCTAACTATACATTATCCTTAAAATCAGAAAAAAACAATATCTTTCTTGATCCTACTTCTGTGTTACCACATAAACTGTCTTCCCTTCTTATCTGAGCCTCTAAAAACATCCTATATTCACCATCTCTACTTCCTTTGCAATCACCCTTTGAGCTATACACCCATTTATTCAACTGGTGAGTTAGACAGCCTATGGGCAATCTCAAACTCAGTACATCAAAAGTTATCTGATTATCCAGGCCACTTACTTAAATCTCTTACATTTGAATTCCATATCTCAAACTGAAAGTGAAAATCTGGAAATCATTTTGGTACTAGACATCTAAATAAGTCATTCTGTCCATGTCCAGTACCAGTGTTGGTATTCTGGCCTTCATCATGTCTTGCCTCAGCTTTTGTAATAGATTCCTTTACCTCCTTACCTCTTGCCTCTTCTCCTTCAGATCTGCTCTCCACAGTGCTCTTCCTTTGAAGCAAGGTGACTTAAAATTGCCCTGCCTAAGACTCAGTGACTCCTTTTATCACCTACAATAAGGGCTCCTCAGTCCAACCTACCATCACAAGGAACTCTTAAAAAACAGATTAGAGCCTGACTCGGGCCTAATGAATAAGAATTTCCAGAGTGGGGCCTGAAATTTTCCATGTTTAAAAGCTATCCAGGTAATTATGATCAGCCAGTTTTGGTAATCTCTAGCCTTCAGGGTAAATCCAGATTCTTCCCATAATCTGACACTATCACTCCCAACTTCATCTTTTAGCACACATCATGCTCTAGCAATACTGACCCAGGACTAGTGATTCTTCTAACTTAAGTTGTTTAACATGCCTGTCAAGAATGTCCTTCTTTCTTCCCTTATCTGCCTGGGAAATTCCTATTCATCCTTCAGAAACTATTCAAGCATCCTCTACTCTCTCATTTAGCCAGCAAACAATGACAAACTCATGAAACTGTACACATCGAACAAATGCAGTTCTTTGTACAGCAATTATACATCAATCAATCTGAAAAATTTATTACGGTCCTACTACATGCAAGGCTCTGAGCTAAGCATGAGATATAAAGATCAGTAGCTATACAGGTAGTACCTGCCTTCAGTAGGATCACAGGCCATTGGAGAAGGAGATATGCAAATACATTAACACAATACAGTGAGGTAAATTCTGTGAGAAAATCTGTGGTAGGTTAAATAATGCCCACCCCACAAAGACGTTCACATTCTAATCCCCAGAATCGTGACTATGTTACTTTACAGTGCAAAACAAATTTTGTAGATGTGACAGTTAAAGATTCTGAGATGGTGAGATTATCCTGGGTTAATTTTGTTGAGCCCAATATAATCACAAGGATCCTTTTAAAACAAAGCAGGCAAAGGGGTGAGAAAGAGAAAGAGATGGTGTTGGGAGATTGGAGAATGCTGTTACTGACTTTGAAAATGGAGGATGGAGACATGAGCTGAAGAATGCAGGTGGCCTCTAGAAGCTGGGAAAAGGCAACGAATTCTCCACTACAGCCTCCAAAGGATCCAGTTCCACCAACTTTAGCTCAGTGTGATTCATTTTGGACTTCTGACCTCCAGAAATGTAGTATAACAACTGTTGTTTTAAGTGACTATGTTTGTATTAATTATTACAGCAGCTATCGGAAGCTAATACAGGAGCAAACACAGTAGTAGTACATAAAAGGGTCTCCTTATCAAGTTACAAAGCCGGGATAGGATGTTCTGGAAGAATTGCCCAGAGGTGATGACACCAGAGCTGAGGGGGACTGTGTTTCAGTGGGTGGTCCAGATAGAGGAAGGAGTTTGGGCAAGGGCACCCACAGAAAGCATAAAAGTTTCCATGAGCAATGCTATCTGTTTTAAACAGCAGAAATAAAACCAGCAATACTAATTCTGGTAAGAGTAAATACCTGTGTGCCAGGCACAGTTCTAAAGCACTGTACAACTCTGTGATGTAGACGCTATTATCATTTTCATTTTACCCACAGGGATACAAAGGTTTGAAGAAATTAACTTTCCTGAGATCACAGAGCTAGCAAAATACAGGGCTAGAATTAGAACCTTGGTAGCCTGCTTCCAAAATCCACTAACTGCCCAATACGTAACAGTACACCCCTCTCCGAAGCGGCAGGTTTGGGGGCCCGGGTCTGGACGGTCACCGGGGCCCCTCGCCGGACGCAGCGCTCTGCCCCAGATCCCGAGAAAGCCCCGCCCCGCCCCGGCCCCGCCCTTTCCTCGCCACCGCCTCCTCCCCGTTTCTATCCCCTTCTCGGTCGCTCCACTTGCGCTCGCTCCGCTCCGCCTTTCCAGTCCTCCCCCCGCCTCCCAAGATGGCTGCGGGGCTGCCGGGCCCGGAGCCGTGGAACCGCGTGAGGATCCCGAAGGCGGGGAGCCGCAGCGCCCTGACGGTCCAGGACCCCGGCGCGGCCCTGGGTGAGCGAGGCGGCGGCCATGCGGCGGGTGCTTCCGGCGGGGCTCCAGCCCGCGCGGCGCCGGCCCGCGGGGCGGGACTTCCTGGGACTCCCGGGGCCCCGGGGTTTGCTGCCGCGTCTTCGCGGTCTCTCGTTGACCCCACTATGGGTGGCTCAGGGGAAAGTGCTGCCTGGGAACCCTGGGCTCACTCCCCTGGCAGCCGTGTTACCCTTCAGTCTGCCCCCGACCTTTGCCTCCACGAAACTGGAGGGCGTCACTTAGAACACTGGCTTAAATCGCAATCTTCCCGGTATCTGTAAAACGGGGTCAGGCCTACCCATCAGCGGTTGTTGGGAGAATCTAATAATGTCATTTAGGGGAGAGTGCTGTTTAAGCGTTTTACCAATTTATCATGGTATTGCCGTTTTTAGGCAGTAGGGAGTAGTAATTAGGAGTTTGGCGCAGGAGCCAGATTGCCTGGGTTTGACTCCTGGGCTGCATGGAGCTGGGCAGGGCAGGTGGGGGTGTCGTTATTTAACCTTGTTGTGCCTCAGCTCATTTTCAAATGGGGATAAAAATAGTACCTCATAGGGCTGTTTGGGGGAATGAAAGAGTTAATGTTATAGGTAAAGCATTTAGAACAGGGCCTGATTAAGTAAACACTCAAATGGTAGTTACTATTACTTATAACCTATCTAATCATGACTTCCTCCTCCCCATCCAACCATTATACAGAGTTTACAGATAATCATCCCTCTGCCTGTATTAAACATTACTTAACAGAATTCCTATTAGGTATGGAAATTCACCAACTCCTCAACTCGAAGGCAGCCTATTCTGGTTTCAGATGGTTGGGACAAAGGAAAAGTTCTCCATGTTATGTAGAAATCTGCCTTTGTTTTACTTATATCTAGGATGCTAGTGTTATCCTTCGAGCCACAGAGAACACATGAACTCCATCTTCTTAACAGCTTTTCAGATTATAAAGCTGTTTTGAGCACACCCTGCTGAGTCAGCATTCGTTAAATAATGTAATTTACAGTTGTCATGGTGTTTTTTTTCTGAACATAAAGTGGTACCCAACACTTTACCTTTGCTTTCAAGAGTATGAGTTTATCCATTCGCCTTATGTGCATAACAAAATGGGGGATTTAGAAGTAAGAATTAACTATCACTTGCCTCACCTTCAAGACACTTATGGTGTTAGTGTCTACCAAATGAGGACAAAGCATTCATGTGAAAGACTATTAAATCATGATGAAATGGGATGTAAAGATACACATTATTGTTTAAGAGATGTTCTCTTAATGATTTCTGTCACCATTTATATTATGTCACCATTTTCGCACTTGCTTAAAATCATTATGTTGCTAATGGTTGAGGCTAATTGTTAATTTGCTCTGATTCCTTTTTAAAGTAGAAACACTATTAAGTCTTATAAAACATCTCTGCTTTAGATCTTTGTATTGCAGCTGTAATTAAGGAGTGCTGTCTTCTTACACTGTCACTGAAGAGCCAAATCTTAGATACAGAAACAGACGTGTTATGCGCAGTTCTTTACAGCAATCACAACAGAATGGGCCGCCACAAGCCCCATTTGGCCCTTAAACAGGTAAGGAGGGTATGGTTAGTACTCAACACGTTTACTCAATGAAGATGGGAGATCACACTGCCACTTACTATTTTTTTATGGAAATTTAGTAAATTAGTTTTTAAGACAAAATTGGTTCTTCCAGCTTAGGGACTACAAAGTACAGGAGAGCCTCCTAAGCTGGGTTCCTTATATACTCATTCATTTACTTTATTAATTCTACAAGTACTTTTTATGTGCCAGGCACCACAGAACTCTTACCACAGAAAGGCTTTTACCTTTTTTTGATTTAAAAAAAAATGCTCCTGAGTGCCTATTGAATACTGTGCCTAAGTGGAGTTATAGTGATGGATGAAGCAGACAAACTATATTGCCCTAATGGAACTTCCATTATAGTTGAGAGGAGAAAGGCAGGCAAGCAGTCAGTCAAAGGTCACATGGTGAGAAGGACTATAAAGAAAAATAAAACAGGGAAGCAGGGAGTGCTGAGGGGGTGGCAGTTTCTAACTGGGCATATTTTTTTATTTTAATATTTTAATATTTTATATGTCTTATTTTTACCACTAAATTTTTAGCAACTAGAGATTGGGAAGTGTCTTAAACCATTTCTTGTCCCAGCACGTTTTGCACGTACATGTTCAAAATCCATTTGTAAAGTAAGTCGATCACTTTCCTCATTTCTGTGGCACAGACTATTGAAATTGAGTAGTTAATTTACTATCTTGTTAATTGTTTCACTATTAGAAATAATGTTGCTGCAGAAAAAGTGAATCTTTAGAATAATCTTATACTTAGTTTGGTCCCTTTTATAGCATCAGCCATATACTGGCATATAGTAAATTCTTACTCATAACCTGATTCAAGAAATTTGTTTGGCTGGATAAGTTTAAATTTTTAACCAGAAGCAACTGCTTTGGGCTATCGATTTCTTTACCCTTAAAAAGGTATTTTGTAGTAGTCACGTATTTCCATACTATGACATTTTGGATCTCTCTGCTTTCTTGGTCACATCAGTGGCCTTATCTGAATATATATGTGAATTTGAGCTGTTCTCCCCCTTTCAGGTTGAACAGTGCTTAAAACGCTTGAAAAACATGAATTTGGAGGCTTCAATTCAAGATCTGTCTGAGTTTTTTCCCAAGTAAGGATCCAGTTGCTTCGTGATGGCCTCTGTGGTGGGCCGGGAGCTCATTGTCTTGCTGTGATCTCGCTTTGGACTTAGCACTCCTTGGTGTTGAAATATAACTAGTTATATCTTGGCTATACAGATTTTGTTTTAATAAGAGGCACCTGGTATTTGTGATAATCTCCTTCTGTTGGCCTGTGGGAGGGACTGGAGTGACACTGAAATCTGGATCCTGAGAGATTTCATTGAAATATTAGTGTCAGTAAACTTCAGTGAGTCATTATTGAGCATAACTACCTCAAACTGAGCTTAAAGCAAGTCTGCACTTGAAAACTGCTGTGTAAATAAATGCCTTGTATTTAAGAATGAAAGTAATGTACTTCTCTATTTTTGTGAAGTGAAAATCAGCCTATATCTACCAAAGCACGTGTCATCCCCAGCCAACCAGTGGTGGAATTGATGCTGATGAAGATTTTGGGAGCCAGCAAGTTGTTACTTCGCTTGTTGGACTGTTGCTGCAAGACATTTCTGTATCCTGAATCGGCTGCTTCTGAGTTGGAACTGTTTTGATATATTTAATAATATTTCTGAAAGCTAGGGGCTCCATAGAAGTTCTAACCTATGGGAGTTATTAAAATTTTGCTTCTTGACCTCCTTTTCCTAGGCACTGCCTGCTATAGTCATTAGTAGAGACTGCCTGTCCATCTAGCATGTAATGTCCTTAAGGGCACTGAAGTTAGAAATCCTTATTCTTAGAAACTAATTTAATAATGAGATGTCTAACAGTGTTTAATTACCTTAAGTTTCTGTGACTTAATCGAATCTTTTAAGGCTTTAATTCCTTCAAGAAAGTTCTACTTCTAATTTGTTTTTCTTATAAATGTAACTTACAGAATCCAAATTCCTTTGTTTTTGAACTTTAACTTGATTGTCCAGCTTGACTGTGAAACATCTAGGTTTGCAAGAATTCATTATTTTAAACCTTGTGATGATTGGGCTGGTGAGCAGGTTATGGTATGTAGTACATAACTTTGAAATCCTTCATTCCTTTTTCATCTAAGTCAGCCTAGGTTTCTCATTAGTAGTTTTCGTATTTGTTTTCCCATGGGATGCTGAAGGTACTGGAGTTCCATTTCTTGACTTGGTCAGAGTTTATCTGGGGTGGATTTGAAAGCTAAGTGTTGATGGTTATGTCAAAAGAGTAGGCTTTTAACCTGAAGCTGTATCGCCTCAGTACTAATCAGCTAAGCAAATGAATTCCTAGGATTAGCAACTGGAATAATAATAAAGTGGTTGCTGTAATCATATAGCATCCAGCCACTTAAAATGAAGGTGTTCCTGGGCAAACTGTATTCTTTCTGCTACTAGATTTCTAATTTTAATGGCATAACTTTCCTTGTGCTTCAGATTATTTTCTTCCACCTGAACCACCACTGCTTTTTGAGGCATAGTTGATATAAAGAAAACTGGTAATAGTTGCAAACCAAAGAGACTTCCTTTGTGTCTCTCAGTATATATTATGAATTAATTTGATGGATAATTGGAGTTGGAATCTATTCATATTTGTAAGGAAACCTGTTTTGGGCCATTTTAAACAACTGGGTGGGATGCCACCAATTTGAAATGAAAACTGGGAAAAAAAATTTTCTGTCTTTGCAAGGATTAGAAACCTTGCTTTGATGTATTAATGTGGATATCTCAGGTACTATTTCCAATCATTTTTTTTATTCTGCTTATTCTTAGAGGTAACAGTGTTAAAATACGTATTTTAAAATAACCAAACTTTCATTCTTTTCTATAATGAAAATAGCTTTTTCTTTTGCTGACTACAGCAATAATACATGCTTATTTTAAATAAGAAAATTAAAAAAACAAACAAACTAATTACTGGCTAATTCACGAGCTCCTATTTCTTTCTCTAGGGTTCTCTATAAAGGTGTTTTAAAAAGGCTGATTTCTTTATATAAGCCATTGTTTGGATTGCTTGAAGAGGTCTCTAGGATTCAACCACTGCCTTACTTCAAAGATTTTACCTTTCCTTCTGATATTGCTGAATTTTTAGGACAGCCCTATTTTGAACTTTTTAAGAAAAAATTGCCTACAGCTTTTGCCGCTAAAGGAGTAACCAAATTGCTGAGTAAACTGTTTTTAACAAAAGAGCAATCATCAAGGTCCAGTGAAGAAACTTCACTCAGAATTTCTGAAAAAGCTAAACAAATGAAGATCAATACACAGAATAATGTGGATCTTGGAAAGCCAGTAAAGAATAAGAAAATCTTCAGAGGTAATTTGTTTTGCGATAGCACAGACTCTCACAAAAGAAAAAGTTGAAATTACAATATAATTACGCATTTTGTAGAAAGAAATTGAGCATCTCAATTTTAACTCATATTTAGAGAGGTTTATATATATATGTATGCCAGTTTCCTAAGCTTGAATATTTAAAATTGTTGCTTCATAGTTCTTTAATTCCCTTTACTTCTTTTGTTATAGTTAGGCAGAAAATGTTGGCCACTTGCTTAAAAATTTATTGATAAGAAAATAGTATGCCTAAGTTTTTGTATTCATGTTATTTCCATCTCCACAGAACACTCATCAGAATTCGATGTAAGGGCTTTCTGCAAACAGCTGAAACACAAAGCTATGCAGGTTTGTGTTATTTTAATACAGCTTATGATTTTTGCTAGTTTTTTTTTATAAGCAAAAGTATATTTACTAGATTTCCATGACCCATATTTACCTTAAATCCAATCTAGAAATAAGAGCATGGTTTACATTAGGCAACATATTTTAAAGATGTTTCTAACAGGCAATCACATGAGCGTATCCACACTGCAGAACCTCTCTTGGCATCCTGAGATGCTTTCAAACACTGCACCGGGGAAGGCAAGACTCACTTCCAGGGCACTCTCCTTTCCATCATGCACCATAGAATGTTTTTCCACAAAAACCATGTTACTACAAGCCTGTGAACATGTCTGTCTCTGGTAAGGTAAGGAAGGAAATATGGAACTCCTACTAAGTAACAAGTGTTTACTTATACCAGGAGATAACAATTTGCTGTGGACTGCTCTGTGAGTCTAAATAGTTAATATATTGCTTCTATAAGAAAATACCAATTTAAATTTTCTGATATGATTATTAAATTTCTCATCAACATAAATTGAAGATAAAAAAAATTAAGGGGAAACAAAGTTTTTCTCATTTTCTTTTCTACTTTTATGCTTTGAAAATTCAAAATGGATATGTCGTGTAAAAGAAAATGTGAGGTACAAATTATTTCACATTTACATATTGGTAAACAAGAAAACTGTTTAAGAGTATCAGGACTTTCAAGCCAAAGTAAAACGTGCTACCACTATCCAGTCATGGCTAAATGTAAGACTACATACGGCACAGCTGGATCAGTACACTGCAAATACCTAGGAAGGTGAGGGAGACAAAATCCTAGGAGTTTTATGTGTAGAGTCAGTTTTCCAACATGGAAACCATTCCAACATTCTGGTAAATTTAGCATGACTGGGAATCAGTTTGGACCAAAATGTAAAGCAAAGTTGATGCTGTTATGTAACATCAATTTCTAGCAGATCTATGAAGACTTTTATGCAAAGTACAGTGAACCTGGCTTTCATTTGTTTCTTTCACTTTAGATTTCAAAGTAAGTCTCAAGGAATTTTTCTTTCCAATATGATAATTCAATCAACTTTAAAATGGAAAGACAACAAAAAACAGAGATGCTACTTTATAGAAATCAATGTCATGGAATAAAATATTCCCTAAAGTGGGAGTTTTACCTTAAGAACTAGAATGCTTGTTTCTGGTAAAGGATGTCATGAGAACCCCTTGGAGAAATTCTCAACAAACACTGACTTCATTTTCAGCATTTCTGATTGTCTTTCTTTGATTTACATCATTGCTCAAAAGCCAAAGAATTATGTATAACAACTATTCTCTCCTTTGGTATACAGTACTGTTTCTGAAACTTTCTATCATTTCTAATATTGTAAATGATGAAGAGGTGACCATGTAACAAGCTGTAGGCCAAGTGACTAACTGCTTTTGTTCAAGACCCAGCTTTGTGAGACTATAAACATGGTTCCTTTGTTACAAGTAGTCTCATTAATGTCTTATAAGATACTCAATGATGTCTTATCAGCCCTGGAAAAATGGCTGCTGCTCCACAACTCCAAAGAGTTATGGTGAATGGATAACAAAAATACTTCAAAATGACGAATTTAAATGGAACAGTTACAACAGGGTGTTTAAGTGGTTGAACTGCTAGAAAATGGGAAGGCAGATGGGCTTCAACTATAATACCTAGCAAGGACTGATCTGTGCAGGCTTATATGTACAGAGACAAATAGGGTTAGGCACTTAAATGTGGTTGATGAAAACCCTGGGAAGCAGTATGGGCCTATAATAATTTATACATTTTATATAAAAATGTATATGTTTATATAATTTTATATATTAATATATATTATACAATAGTAACTTACATGAAGAAATGTCATTAAGTTCTGAAAATGAGATTTTTGCTAATCTTTCGAGTAGATGCCTCTTACAAAGGACAGAAACTGAATCTGACTTGTTTTTATCTTCAGCTCTAAGGTTAGAGCCATCTTAGTTCTCGGTCAATGCTTCTGAATGACAGAGCACTCCCAAGGGATTAGGATACATTCAGTTAATAGAATTACTGAATTCTATTTCAGAATTTCTGTTTCTGTTCAAAATATTTCACTGAGAATTCTAGAATTTTAAAGAGACTCTAGGATCCAATGTAGGTGTGGATTATTCTGTAGCTTAAGAATATAGGCTTTGTAGTCAGAAACCGTTTTGAGTCCTGGCTGTTAAGTTTATTAAGTTTCTTGATCTACCCATACCTCTGTTTTCTAATAGTATGCATCTCATAGGGTTATGCCAGTTTTAATGCCTGTAAAGTGTTCAGCAAAGTCTGGAGTATGGTATGGTAAGCACTTAATGAGTGTGAGATGTCATTAGCTACTTTCATCATTGTTAAGTGTCCTACTCATCCTTTACCTTTAGTCTTCTATTTCTGTCTGTCAGGGGTCCAGCTTTAACACGATTCCCTGCCTTAGTGCCTGTGAATTCTGTTTGTTCTGTAGCTAACAAAAGATAAGTACATCAGTGTGACCCTCTTTCATCTGGTAACTACTTGATTTCTGATACCCTCTGTCTTCTGAGAATTGTTTTCTTCTGGTTTCCTTCATGGGTTACTTCTTCCATTCTATTTAAGAATTCTTAATCATTTCCAGTAAGAGTACTTGGACATTTACAGGATTTCAGCTTGCCTTTATATTCTGTCCAATTCCTGAGTCCCAAAGGGAGGAATAATAAAGTAATAATAATAGCCCATAAGAATATTGGATTTACTTTTTGCCATGCACTGTTCAAATGCTTTACATATATTAATTCACATAATCTTTGCAAAAGCCCTGTGAGATAAGTGCTGTTATTGTTGTTTCATTATTTCAGATGAGAAAATTGAGGTATAGAAATGACAAGAAACTTGCTCAGGCTGCACAGCACATATGGGGCAGGGCTAGGATTTGAACATAGGCAGTTTAGTTTCATAGTCTTGTATTTTTATCAATACACCAGTCCCCAAAATAGTTTTTTGGCAACTTTTTCTCAAGAATTACAGCCTCTGTGACCCTTGAAATTTCTGTAGTCCATCTCCCTGTTCTAGGTCAGCTAGTTTTGAAGCTGGATGGTCAGAATCCTTCTTAGTCATGACTAATCAATACCACATTTTTAACAGTTAAAATGTGTTAATATTATGCTCAGCTTGCGTTTACATCAAACTTATCACCAACAAAGTATTGATAAGTCTCTACTTTTATATTTTCTTCTTTTTACATTCATGAGGGTAAGAAATTGGAAGAAAGTAAACTTTGAATGAAGGATGAAAGCATACCTGGTAGGTGGCCTATTTTCATAAACCACAGAAGCTGGTATAATTCCAACTAGATACAGAAAGATGGGGTCAAAGAGACAAAGGTGCCACATCAAAATATGGTTCAGTTGGAATTAGAAATATTGCTCAGTTAACCATTTTTAACATGTTTAGCAGTCATCCTTGTGTTCATGCAGTTGCAGTAACATTTATGACCAGTCACTGAGGAGAGTGACTCAGCATAAGGAAAGAAGTGGAAAACAGGTTGTGGTAGTCCACTAGCATAGAGGAAAAGGGATTTTTGTCATCTTTTTCCCCACTAGATAGGCTTTGGCTAATATTTGATCATGTAGTTTATTCTTATGTATAGGTTAAACAGATATAGTTATGTGTTAGAATATTTATGTTAAGTACAACTGAATTCAGCCACTGATCTATTGTAGCACAGAGGGAAAAAAAAATCTTTTAGTTAGGAGCAGCGGATAAAAAAATTGTTTTAAAACAAAAGAAAAGTACAGTGAGCTAAAAAAAGTTTCCTCCTTTAAAAAAGACAAGATTTTCTAATTTTGATAGTCTGAGTCAATTCTTCTCTGTTTCTCTGACTTTTTTCCAAGTCAGGAACAAATCCAGTGTATTTTTCTCTCATTTTTCCATATTTCAGGAGACCAGCTTTGAATTCAAATGTTCTCAATCTAAACTAAAGGCAATGAAATCTTCTCAGAAAGTGATAGGAACTCACTGTGCCAAACGTTTTATGCAAAGGATCCGAGAGGCTAAGACTTTCATTCAACTTTCTGAAAAAATCCAAATGCTGATTCTGTGGTGCAGGAGCAAAAAACTCAAGGCTCAGGCCACTTATCTGGGTAACAAACTTCTTAAAAGTAACCGGCTTAAACATGTGGAAGCTCAAGGCTGTAGGTAGGTATATTAAGAAAATTCCTTGTTCTGTTGTCATTTAGGGTGAAACTTCATATGTTCAAGTTAGCTTTCTTTAAAATGGGATGTCCAGTAGCCCTAGGGGGTGCTGAACATGGGCTCTAGTCAAACTGTTTTGTTTGCTGCTTTTGCTGGGCAAACTTTATCATTGGGAGGAAGAAAGTGAACTTGGTTAATTGGATTTATTAATTTATACTCTTCACCATTCCATCTGGTCATTCAGAAAGCATTAGGATGTCTGTGGCATGCTAATCCTGGGGATACAGTCATACACAAGACAGACAACCTCACGGAGCTCTAGCTGTAGTAGGTGAGACAGCCATCTTGCCCACAGCTTCAGTGCAGTGGGGGAGGGTGTGAGAGTGAAGCAGGAGGCACCTGCCTCCTCCGAGGGCACACACTGGACCAGGGTCAGGCAGTGTTCACTCACAGGCTCTCCATGTAACTTCTTCCTTTTCCTGTGGTTCTTAATATTCACAGAACTACTTAAGGATGGTTAGTGAGCCAGTCCTGCTTGAAGCAATACATGGAGTTAGATACTTTAGGGTTTTATGTTTTTATTGAAAAAACAACAGATGCCCATGGTAACACCTTTAGACACAAATGGCTATAGAATCCTTATTCCTTCTTCATAGAATAATCATTGTGAATGTTTTTTTATGTATCCTTCAATAAATTTTCTGCATCTACCATTCTTATCTACAGTTACAGACATGTATCTATTAAGGGCTTTCTAATGATTCCCATGTATGAATCCCTTGAGCTGTCCTAACATTTGCTAAATTTTCTTCTAAAACTTATGGAAAAGATATTCCTATTTTAATTAAAAAATTGATATATAGTGAGGGTTTTGTAACAGCTCTATGGGAGAATTTGCTAAGTGTTACTAAGGAATGCACTGCTGGAAGGGATTTTTACATTGGGGTTTCCTAAAGGCTGGTAGCCATCAAAAAGGTTTCTATTCTACAGTGGAAATTCAGCCTGAGATAGAGCTGTTCTGTTCAAGCTTGGGTTTAAAGTCAAGGGTAGGTGAGGCAGAGATGAAGATAATTAAAAGTTAATGAGAAGGGTAACAAACTGATGTTTACTTGGTTAAACCATTATTCTATACCCGACAAAAATAGGCTCTTTCAATAGTGCCCTGTATTGCTGTTTCAGCAATGAGTTATATTTGTAATACATTTTAAATGTACTCAATATCCACAGTAACTTTAAGGTAGGCAGTTATTTTTCCCATTTTATAGATGAGGGAATAGAGGATTTTGCTCAGGGTGTTCTGGAGATCTAGAACTTCAGATCCTCTGATTCTGTTTTCATTCTTTCTGTTTCCATTTCAATTGGGGGGCATACACCTGTCCTCTCTCCACTTAAAATCACCACACAGGGAAAGATAAGAAAATGGTTTGGAAAAAGAGATCATGAATTACTACAGTATAGTGGAACTTCAAAGTTCTATGTTTGTTTAAAAAGGAAGAGGAGTGGTTGGGGAATAGTAATTATAGACCCATGCTAATCTTTTGAAATCTTATCATAAACATTGAGGCAGTTAGGAAGGCACTGATGGACCCTGTGGCATTGTACCCTATTCAGAAGAAGTACCTAAAATCATAAGCTGAGTTCTTTATTCCCAAACTTGAAGATGACATATGAATCATAATTAGAAGAGCTCAAAGCTGTCAGTCTATGCCAGAAGCCCTCGCTTCTCATCCTTATATAAACTCCCTCTTCAGTTTTATTCCTATTGCCTGGTACAACACGAAGTCATTATCCAGACGTGGATTAATACATACTGGCAGATTTTTCTATTTGTGATACATCCTTTCCCCAGTTTTACTACTACATTATGAACAGATAAGCAGATTAGCAGGGAAAAGCTGTGATGCTAAAATATGGAGTTGTTTCACCATTCTGCTACCTTGCTGGAAGTGTAGGATGACACATTTGCCTACAACCTGAATCAGGGAAGTTGTGCTCAGAAAACATGTGGGTCAAAGCTTCTGTTTCCTTATTTTTGTTATGGTTCTGGGGTTGTACATAGGTATAGGACTTGTAGAGAAATTGTATACATTTCTGTTAGAAGTTGGTGAAAAGAAGACAAAAGGTTTTGAGAATGTTCTCATGCATCTTAACAATCTCTGATTTTTCCTCTCTCTGTCCTTTAGTTTGCCAAAGAAACTAGAGAGCATAAAAACATCAATTTGCAACTGCCTTCTTCGTGGCTCAGGTATCAAAACTTCAAAGCATCATATGAGACAAAGGAGATCACAGAAAAAATTTTTACTGAAGCAGAGGAAATCACAGAGAAAGTTGCAGTCAGGTCTTTTAAAGGAAATTCAGCAGTCCCCTCAAGGGACTCTTAGTGCTACAGATGAACCACACCATGTGGTTCGTAGACCTGATTGCTACCCTAACAATAAGCAACTCTTGAGTAGCAGTATTTCAAAACCTGTCATACAAACTAAGGAGAAACAAATTCATGAACGTCGTACAGAAGGCAAAGGAAATGAAACTGATTCATCGACAATGCAAACAAACACACACAACACATCAGGAATTATTAGGGAGACAGATGACATTGATGATATTTTTGCTTTAATAGGAGTTTAGAATCTCATATGTGAGACTTCTAAGTGTTTAATAGACTGGTCCAGTGTTCTGCTGTTGGAATTACTGAGATCTGGAAAGATCTGGAAATACTACTTGAACTCAGGAGCTGCTTTAGTGCAATATTATCTAGCATTTCATTTCAGTTCATGTTTGTAAGAGCTTTGTGTTACTTAATTGACAAGTATTTGACTATTAGTCAAATTCTGATTTGACTGTATGCCAGGTGTTAAGATGGAAAGTTTGTATTTTGCCCTTGAAGGAGATGTAATTCCTTGATTGAGGCTGGTAGGTCCT